ATCATTATAATAGTAGCTGTAGTCGTCATAGTAATAGGAGGAGGAGGAGGAGGAGGAGAAGGAAGAGCAGGAGGGGAGGAGGGAGGAACAAGAGGGAAGGCGAGGGAGCCCGCGTGCCATCTCGACGGGCAACTGTATTCGAAATTTGATATGACTCACAATCCAAATGAGTAGCGGTTGTTTTGGGAGCTCGTTCCATCCTGACCCCTAGCAGTCGGCAGCGCGCGGGAAAGGGGGGGTCCTCTAAGGCGGCCTAACTCCACGCAGCACGCGGGCGAGCTTAGCTCGTCCGGCGCACCCGCCCAAACGGGCCTTCGCGAAGCTACGCCGCCGTGAAAAACGCCCCGCCGCCCCCACGCGCTGCCGACTCGCGGCTTGTAGATATTTTGAACGCATCGGGCGAATCTCGACGGGCAAGATGTATTTGACGATACTTCAAACATGGATTCGAAACCTAATTTCATTCACAATTAAAAACGATAGGTGGTTGTCTTGTGAATTCACGTCATCCTGACCCCTGGCAGTCGGCAGCGCGTGGGAACGAGGGGATGTTTTCCAAGGCGGCCTAGCTCCACGCAGCACGCGGGCGAGCTTAGCTCGCCCGGCACTCCCGCTCAAGCGGACCTTCGCGAAGCTTGGCCGCCTTGGAAGACGCTCCACCGCCCCCACACGCTGGCGCCACAGCTGGCGCCGCCTCGAAATTCAGGTCAGAATACACTCAAGGATGGGCCCAGGGGTCGATTTGTCGAGAGCAGGTCAATAGGGCGGCAAACTGATCGGCATTTCCTCGGAAAACTACGACGGCCATTATGATTATGGCGGGCGAGACGGGCGCCAAAGCATTGAACAATTTTTTTCCCTCCTTCGTCCTCCAATCCCGAACCGAACAAATTTCATATATACGTTATTTGCGACTATTGCTTTCTCTTGCCGTGGACACGGCCCCCTTCATTTGGGCCTGCACTGCCCGCGCACGCCACAGCGACTATGAACTCCGCAGCGCTCACGTGCTACACAACGCCCGCGCGCGCATTCAGAGCCTGCATACACCGCAGCGCTGGCAGCTGCGAGCGCCGCGATCCGACCGCCGCGCCAATGCCTCTCAGCAACAGAACACTGCGCCCCTTGAGAGCACCACGCGGCACGCACGTCACCGCCGCTTTCCCCCGCGAGTCCCACAGCGCCCCTGCAAGCGCAACAGCACGCCTCTGAACGCCACAGTAGCCTGCGAGCGCCACAGGACGTCCGCGGTCGCAACGACCGCCGCGACGTGACCAGGGGGGGCGGCGGCGAGGCCGGTCACGCCCGCGATCGCCCAGGGGTTTCCCGAATGAGCTTTTCAACGCCGCCGGGCCTGGGCAGAAGCACGCTTGCACCCATTATGGCAGGCACCTGAGCGCGGCCCTCTCTTCGCCCACTCTCAGAAGGAAGGATTGCACTTCAACGAAGCATGTCAGCAAAGCCTCTCTAGTGGGCCAAACAACTTGTCAGCGTCACCAGACGACTGGAGCAACTGGACCTTTCGCTGCAACAATCGTTGCATGGATAACTGGCGCGCAGCCCATCTGAGCGCGACGCCCCAAGCTCGGGCACCGTTGCTCTGCCGCAGCCAGACGCATGGCGGCCTCCACTTCCTGGCCACCCACTTGGTCTGGACCTCGCCTGCTCTGCCAAGCCGACGCTTCCGCTGCGCGCCGACGGCGCCCCATCGATCGTCGATCAAGCAACTGATTTTCCTACTCGTTCATTTCAGAGCCCCGAGAAACCTGCCAGTTGGCACGGTCGTCTGCGTCGTGGATGAGTACCTGCACCCTCTCCCATTCTCTCGGTGGCCGCGCGCATCCTGTCGGCGGCGTCGCGCCGATGGCCCGGGGCCCCACTGGCACTCAACCCGCATGGGAACACCCTCCGCGAAGAGCCGGTAGACGACTGGTCGATGCGGAACCGAACCTGCGCCCCCGCCCGCCTGTGGCATCCCCAACTTGGCGACCAGGTGCGCAGCAACAAGAGCGCGATCTACGGCGGCGCCCCCTTTGCCTTGCCCTCGCGCGGCGGCCGTCGCGCACGCTGCAAATCCAGCCCGAGCTCCTCCACCGACATATCGAGATCCCCCGGCACGCCCCAGTCCGCGCCTAGGAAGTTGATGGCGCGGACGCAGCGAAGCAGGGTGCACAAGTTGGCCGCGCTCTCCGGGCCGCGCCCCGCGCTCGGCCGCAAGTAAATAGATATGATAACACTGCCGCGCGCGACCCCCCAGACGCACGCGCGCCGCCACGAGCCTGGCTTCCTCTAAAATAAAGGAGCGCAGCTCCAAGCGGGCTCGCGATCGAAAAATTGGCCCTGCATACCGCCGCCACTCCTCCAGTAGACCCGTCGCCATTGCCTGCGGCCGGGGCTGGCGCCCATGCGCCGCTGCACCCAATGTCGCGCATCCTCGACTGCGCGCTGCCCAGCTCGCCGACAGTGGCGCGATGTTCTTGGATGCTCAACGCTGCGTGCCCAGGTTTGGCCGCCAGGCAATCAACCGGAGGCCGCTGCGACGCCGCGTCGGCAGAGGCAAAGAAACCCTCCGCCTCTGCCCCCGGCGATTTGGCCGCTGGAGTCGACGCGCGAACTAACGCCTGGACTCCCCGTCGCGGGGCCGCCCCGCGTTGCCCGACTCTGGCCGCTGATGCCCAAGCTGAAGGCCGCGTCGTCGGCGCCCCCGCCCCTCCGGCGATTCCGCGCCGCGGGGTCACCAGGGAATGCGCCGCGGGCGCAGCGCGACCACGCTGCCGCCGCTCGCTCTCCTGGGACTCGCGCCACGGGGCGGCCCCCACTATCTCGGGGGCGGTGCGACCCGTGGGCGCCGACGACCCCGAACTGGCACTGCATGCCGTCGCAGCCCTCGACGCGGACGGCACCGTCAGCGGCGCCGCCGCCCCTCCAGCGATTCCGCGCCGCAGGGCCACCAGGGGACGGGCACGGCGCGACAAGGCCGCTGCCCATCGCCCTCCCGGGACTCGCGCCACGGGGCAATCTCCACCATCTCGGGGACGGGGCGGCCCGTAGGTGCCGACGACCCCGAACTGGTCCTGCATGCCGTCGCAGCCCTCGACGCGGATGGCACCGTCGACGGCGCCGCCGCCCCCCCAGCGATTCCGCGCCGCGGGGTCACCGGGGAATGCGCCGCTGGCATAGCTTCGCCAAGATTCTGCGCGCGCCACACAGCAGATTCCACTATCGCAAGGACGGGGCTGTTCCACGCAGTCGACGCACTGGAACTGCACGCTCGCGCGCCCCAGCAGTCGGCCCCCCTTCAAGCCGCGCCGCCGACCTCGAGGTGCGGAAGTCCTCGGTCGATCCCGTGCGCAGGATCTCCCTCGGGGGGCCCTTCTGGCAGGGCAGCGCAGCGAGATCCTCATGGCATGCGGGTGCTGGACCGGAGCAGGCCTGCCCGTGGGCCCCCGCGCCCTGCGATGCTGCCGCAATGAAGACCGACCCGTCGAGTTCCTCGCCCTCCGAAATGCAAAGGCTTCGCCTCTGCGCGCAGCCTCAACTCGTTGCTCGTCGTCGCAATCATGTTGATACACGGCATGATAAAAACCACGCTGCCGATCAAAGACGGTAAAGAGGCGAGAACTGCTGCGTGGCCTTGCGCGCATCGCGCGCTGCCTTGCGTACTTCCCCGTCTCCTTCGGGCACGGGCATACCGGCCTGCATCAGGAAGCCCTTGACGACCTCGGCGCCTCAGCCAGAGCTTGCGTCAGCGCAGCCCCACTCGCGCGAAGTTTCTTGGCATGCTTCAATGAGCTCCGGCAGCGACGCCAACAAGTCCCAGCAACCGCCCGCCGAGCGGACAATGTTCTCCAATTCCGTGGGCTCCACGTTGACCATGCCAACATCAGCCTGCAATACGAAATGACCTTTGTTGTTCTTGGACCCCGAGGGCCTTGCAGTGCTCGCTCCGATCTCGAGGAGCTCCTGCTCGATGTCCAGGGCGGCTACGCGTGCCGCCTTGGCGGCCTCCATATCAGCCTCGATATCAGCCTGCATGGCCGCAACCTTCGCCTGTTTGCTGGCGACGGCCTCGTCGAGCTTTGCGGCCTTCTGCTTCGTCCGCTTGAGCTTCTCGCTGTGCCTTGATAGCTGCTGGGATAAGGGCTGGCGTCCCCGCAGTGTGGATAGCTTCTCTGCCTTCTCAGCCTCGAGCTTCGCCCTGTGGGCAATGCACTCTTGGCTATGGTCGTCTTTGATGCCTTCCAGCAACCCGTCGATGGCCGCCAGACGATCCTTGATGATACGCACTTCCTCGCTGTTACCACTTGCAGCAGGCTCGTCCTCTGAGTCAGCCGTGCCCTGTCGCGATCAGCAGCATCAGCATCATCATCACCCTCATCAGCATCATCAGCATCATCATAGCCATCATAAGATTCAGCATCATCATTACAGCTATTATCGTCATCAGAACCATTATCATCATCATCACGATCATAACCATCAGCATCATCACCACCGCCAGCATCATCATTATCATCAGCAGCATCATCACATCATCATCATCACAAGCATCATCAACATGCTTAGCATCATCATCATCATCATCATCATCATCATCATCATCATCATCATCATCATCATCATGATCATCATCATCACCATCAGCATCATCATCATCAGCATCCGCATCATCGTCATCAGCATCATCATCATCATAATCATCATCATCAGCATCATCATCATCATCATCATCATCAACAGCAGCAGCAGCAGAATCATCATCATAATCAGCACCACCACCAGCACCAGCACCAGCACCAGCACCAGCACCAGGGCCAGCAGCAGCATCATGAGCAAGATCTCCATCACCATCACCATCGGCGTCAGCATCAGCATCATCAGCATCACCGTCGGCGTCAGTATTGAAATATACTCAAAACGGCGCCAAAACATCCGAACATAGCTCTCATGTATCCCGTTATGATAGAAAGGGGGCCGGCGGCAGGGGGCGAAACCCTTACGGATATGATTGCCAACGATCGCCAATGAACAGTACGGATACGTTGCCGTGGGCCTCCGCACTCCAGACGCGCGTACGGCTGCGCAGACATGCGCGCGTACGGCTGCGCAGAACTCATGGCGCAGCTGTTGCTGATCCGCGACAGACTGAGCCGAAGTGGCTATGCGTTTGCTTCGGCATAGAGCCGAATCAAATGACCATCTCCAGGCACACTGGGTACGTCGCGTCTTGGGCTAACATCGGGGATGGACAAACCTCCCATTAGTAAAACGTGGTTTAGTGAAAACGACCTGAGGCCCAAACCTGGCGGGCGCAGGCCTGGAAATAACGGCCACGGCGCCCTCTCGAGAACCGAAAACGGACAATTCACGAATCGGTGTGTTACTATTGGAGGCTCTGTCCACCCCCGCTAACACGGGTAGTCCTGGGGGGGGGGGGCTTGGAGCTGCCACAGCGCGGTCTGGTGGCCGCACGGGGCCGTCTTGGGCTCTCCTCGGGCCGCGGGGAGCCCGTCCGTGGGCCCGCTCCCTGGGGGGCATCTCGGGGGGGCACCTTGGACCGTCTTGGGCCCCTCTTGGGCCGTCCCCGCGGCCTCTCTTGGCGCAGTCTCGGGCGCCTGTGGCGTCTTGGGGCCATCTTCGGGGGCCCTCTGGACCGTCTCGGACGATGTGATGACCGCGGAAAGCGAGCCTGCGAAAATCAGGCGCCGACCTCGAGAAAATCACTGCTTTCAACCGCTTGGGTGGCTCCTGAGGAAACGCTAGGCTTGGGTCGGGCATGCCCTCCTACAGGCGGACTTTGGAAGAGAAACAAAAGATAGTCAAAGAACAGTCCACAACTCTCAAAAGAGCACGAACAGCCGGCACCAGACTATTGTTTGAGCTTTTCTGGAAGATTCCTCCTGTAGAGGGACATGCCAGACTTTACGCTTGGCCGTCCGGGAGGCGTGACTGATTGGCGGCGTGCGGGTGTTCCCCTCTTTTTTCTTTTTTCTTTTTTTTCCCTTCCCCGCAACGAAATCGCTTGAAGGTTCGAGTCGATCGCTCCGCCACTCTTGAAATCCGCTGCCCCTCCAGAGGGCTATCCTCCCGGACGCAAGCCGACAGCAGTGCAATGAAGAGGGCAAAAACTTGCAGTGGCCCCGGGCTCGGGCAATCGGGAAAGGACGAGGACGAGGAGGACGAGGACGAGGAAGGCGTGCGGGTGTTCCCCTCTGTGGGGCCCGCCGTGCTCCCGCGCTGCGGGCTCAGCAAGTGCCTCCGGTCCCTCGGGGCTCCCTCGGGATTCCTCGGGGCTCTCCCAGGCTACCTCACGACTCCCTCGGGACGTCTCAGGAGACTCTCGGGACCCCGTCGGGGTCCCGTAGGATGCCCCGAGGTGTCTTTCAGGAACCCTCGAGGCTTCCCTCGGGAGTCCCTGAGATTCCATTACTGGTCCTGTTGGCTTCCTCCAGAATCCTCCAGGCTTGCGGGGGATTTGGGAGCTTCCCTGGCGAATAGTTTAGGATTCATTCGGCATCCCTCAGGTTTCCTTGGGACCAGCTCGGTTTCCTCCAGAATCTTCAGGTCTCTTAAGGAATGTGTTTACATGTGCTTGCTCGAGGCACCTTGGGCACAAGTGCGTCCTGGCATTTTCGCGTGCTGCAACAGGGCCAGACAATTTCATTCGTTGTGCAACAGCCAACGCAGAACGCGGCAGGCCTGGCACACCAGGAGCCTGCTGTGATGGGCCCATTTTCCACCACCTCTACCACAGGTAGGAGAGGGATGAGGAGGAGGACGAGGAGGAGGAGGATGAGGAGGAGGATGAGGACCTCCTCATCCTCCCTTCTCCCCCGTCTTACAAATGAATGGTGGTGGAAAATTTGACCACCTTGCTGGAATCAATGTTGGAAACGAAGGACACCGGGCTTGCCGCAACCACCGTCAGATCTTGGCTTCGCCAGGCGGCCCCGCTGCCACCACCTCCCCGGGCAACGCATCGTCGACTGTCGATGCTAACGACGGTGCCGTCACAGCATGGGTTTCGAGACCCAAAAATCCACCGACCCCCGCTTGCCAGGGGTGAAACAAGCATGTGAGACAATTGGCTGTCCGCCTCCCCCACTTCCCCATCTTGGGTCCACAATGCCATTCTAGGGGGGAAGAGTAGAACTTAACCGAAAACGCGGCACCAGACTAAAATACCAGACTTAAGTACAAGACTGAAGTACCAGACTAAAGTACCAGATTAAAGTACCAGACTGGAGTACCAGACTAAAGTACCAGACCAAAGTACCAGACGAAAGTACCAGACTAAAGTACCACACTAAAGTACCAGACGAATGTACCAGACTGAAGTACCAGACTAATCAAACTAGAGTACCAGACTGAGGTACCAAACTACAGTGCCTTAATATGGTACTTTAGTCTGATTAGGCTGGTACGTTCGTCTGGTACTTTAGACTGGTACTTTAGTCAGGTATCTGAGTCTCGTACTTTACTCTGCTTAGTCTGGTACATCAGTCTGGTCCATTAGTCTGACTAGTCTGGTACGTTAGTCTGATTAGTCTGGTACTTTAGTCTGGTCCAGTAATCTGGTACACTAGTCCGGCACAATTGTCTGGTATGTTAGTCTGGTACTTAAGCCTGATTGGCCAGGTACACTAGTCTGGTACATTAGTCTGGTACTTTAATATGGTACTTCAGTCTGGTACTTTAGTCTGGTGCGACAGTCTGGTACTTTAGTCTGGTACTTGAGTCAGGTACGTTAGTATGGTACGTTAGTCTGATACCGTCAGCGCGGTACAAAGCTAACGTACCAAACTAATGTACCAGACAATTGTACCAGACAAAAATAGCAGACAAATGTACCACACTCAAGTTCCAGACTGGAGTACCAGACTAAAGTACCAGATCAAAGTACCAGACAAAAGTACCAGACTGGAGTACCACACTAAAGTACCAGACTAATGTACCAGACTAAAGTACCAGACTAATCAGACTAAAATACCAGACTAAGGTACCAGACTACAGTACCTTAATCTGGCACTTTAGTCTGATTAGTCTGGTACTTTAGTCTGGTACTTTAGTCTGGTACTTTAGACTGGTACTTTGGTCAGGTATCTGAGTCTGGTACTTTACTCTGCTTAGTCTGGTACATCAGTCTGGCCCATTAGTCTGATGAGTCTGGTACATTAGTCTGGTACGTTAGTCTGATTAGTCTGGTAATTTAGTCTAGTCCATCAGTCTAGTACATTAGTCCGGTACATGTGTCTGGTACTTTAGTCTGGTACTTAAGCCTGATTGGCCAGGTACACTAGTCTGGTACATCAGTCTGGTACTTTAATCTGGTACTTTAGTCTGGTACTTCAGTCTGGTACGACAGTCTGGTACTTTAGTCTGGTACTTGAGTCTGGTACTTTAGTCTGGTACGTTAGTCTGATACCGTCAGCGCGGTACAAAGCTAACGTACCAAACTAATGTACCAGACAATTGTACATTAGTCTGATACTTTAGTCTGGTACCGCTGGGCTGGTGCCGTTAGCCTGGTGCCATTAGTCTGGTGCCATTTCTTGTACACATAGTCTGGTGTCATTAGTCTGGTGTCATGAGTCTGGAACTATTAGTCTAGTGCATGAGTCTGGTACTGCGAGTCCAGCCATTGAACTGGCCATGCAGCTCTCGGACAACCGCGAGAGGCCTCCGAGATGGTCCCCAGAGGGACCTGGAACAGCCCAGGAGAATTCCAAGACGCCTCTATCGCGCACCATCAGGTCCCCATTAGTCTGGTACTTTAGTCGGATTCGTCTGTACATTAGTCTGGTACATTAGTCTGGTACTTTAGTCTGGTACTTTAGCCTGGTACTTTCGTCTGCTTAGTCTGGCAAATTGGTCTGCTACTTTAGTCTGGTACTTTAGTCGGATTAGTCTGGTACATTAGTCTGCTTCAAGTGTCTGGAACTTTAGTCTGGTCCTTTAGTCTGATTAGTCTGGTACATTAGTCTGCTACATTAGTCTGGTAACTCAATATGCTACATTAGTCTGGTGCTTTAGTCAGGTACTATAGTCTGGTACTTTAGTCTGGCACTTTAGTCTATTTAGTCTGGTACATTAGTCTGGTACTTTAGTCTGACTAGTCTGGAACTTTAGTCTGATTGGTCTGGTACATTAGTCTGATTAGTCTGGTACTTTAGTCTGGTCTGTTTGGTACTTGAGCCTGGTACTTTAGTCTGGTTAGTCTGGTACTTTAGTCTGGTACGTTAGTCTGGTACTTTAATCTGGTACGTCAGTCTGGTACATTGGTCTCATGCGTTAGTCTTGTACTTTCGTCTTGTACTTTCGTCTGGTACTTTAGTCTGGTACTTTAGTCTGGTACTTGAGTCTGGTACTTCAGTCTGGTACTTTAACATGGTATTTTAGTCTGGTACCACGCTTAAGAACCCACCGCTTACGGTTAGGACCTCCTTTCGGGGGGGGGAGGAGGGGGGGACGAGCTCATCAATGCACCCCTGGGG